CTTAGAAGAAAAATTGCTGAAGGTCCATCTGGTTTGCTGTTTTTCTGCCACTAGGAGGCCTCTGGTATAAAGAAATAAACCCTTAACATTCAGGAAAATCACATTCTAACACAAGCACGACCACTAATTCAAGATCTACCTGTAACTAAAATGAGTAAGTTAATTGATTCATTTCACCTCGGGCAAGTGGTCAGAGGACAAAGAGCTTGATTAAGCAAAGCCTTGGCCTTGGTAAATGGGCCATGACAGAGCTGACATCTGAGTCATAGCCCGGTCAAGATCCAGACTCTGAATCTGAACTCAGCTCTTTGAACCCACAGCTGGACACTCTGAGTTTTGATTTTGAGAGAAGCTGGCTCTGACTCTTCTTGGAAAATATATAATTTTTTTTTAAGGCAGAAGAGTGGTGTATCTTATATATTCTTTCTTAAAGCACTAATGTGGGCTTTTTATTTTAATATTTTGGCTCAAAGCGTCTCTAAGAAGATATGAAGCTCATGGTAAGTGGATGAAAAGTTGTTTTTAAAGCAATGTCTTTTGGAACATAGTCTAATAATATATTTTAAATAAGTTTGTTTTATTTTTTAAAAAGCAGACTGAGGTTTGAGCCAGTGAACACCAGAGGAAGGCACAAATCTAAGTCCCTGAGCAAGAAAACTTTTTTTTTTTAATTGGGTCCCAAGGAGGGGGGATTATCACAGTGCCTCTGGCCGTGATCACCCCCAGAGAATGAACACCAGTAAGAAGGGGAGAAAGCAGAAATGCTCAAAGAACAGAGAAAAGAGACTTAAGTTTCCAAGGCCAACCCCAAGTGCTATGGGATTAAGGAAATTTTGGGGCACAGGAAGGGGTAAATGAAGGGAGGGCCCAGAAAGAGGGACCCAACTGGCCTTGACAAATGGCCGTAGATAATAAGGAGGTAGTAACCCCTGTGAAGCTCCCCACTGCAGGGGGCTCTGGGATTAGGAGGCCTAATATTTCATTTGTTTGCAGTGCTAAAATGCAATCCCCTCCCTGATCCTCCTCAAAGCCTTTAAAAACACTGCCACCTAGTGGAGATAAAGATGAAGGGGTCTTTTACCACTTGGGGCTACATAGGAGAATCCTGGGGTGAGACAGGTGTGTGACCCACAGCTTAACAAGGAGAGAGAGGGGCCCCAAGCAATCTGTAGAGGCCTCACTGGATATGGCTTTCAGCTATTACAGAAGGGTTCGAGAGAAGGTTGACCCCAGAACATGGGAAAGGGAACAGAAAAGAATCTAATAGAACTTCAGAGCAGATCTGGATTGTTTTCTATAACATTCCTGACACATGGATATGCTCTTTGAGTGGACACCTATTGTGTTGCTGTTCATGAGTTTTTTTTGTTTGTTTGTTTGTTTTTAAAGATTTATTTATTTATTTATTTGACAGAGAGAGACACAGCAAGAGAGGGGAACACAAGCAGGGGGAGTGGGAGAGGGAGAAGCAGGCTTCCCGCCGAGCAGGGAGCCCAATGTGGGGCTCGATCCCAGGACCCTGGAATCATGACCTGAGCCGAAGGCAGACGCTTAACGACTGAGCCACCCAGGCGCCCCTGCAGTTCATGAGTTTTTGAAATGTATGTTCCCTTCAGGGGCAACTCCTACCCCTCCTTACTCTGATCTGAAATACACTTCTCCATTAGCTTTTCTGTCCAGTGGGTTGGATTTAGTTATTCTGTGTTTCAGAGAGCTTGCTCAATGGATAATTGCCTTCTGCTTCTATTAAACATTTTAATTCTGGAAGTCATCCAGGTTATTTGAGGCGGATTAGAAGTATACCGATAAGTCAAAAGAAAAAAAGTCTCTCAGTCTTACCACACTTTAATTTTAATAATGTATAAAGAATTGTTTATTTCGATTACAACAGTAAAAATTTTACATGCAACAATCAAGGAGTGGCTGGTTTGGTTAATATGTTTGTAGATATCTAAGCATTTCACATTCTGAACTTTCAGTTGTTGTAGAATGGAAATAAGAAACATAGAGATGTATAATGTAAACTTTTTTTTTTTAAAGACTTATTTATTTGAGAGAGAGAGAGCACGAGTGGGAAGGGCAGAGGGAGAGGAAGTGAGAGAATCTCAAGCAGACTCCGTGCTGAACAGGGAGCCCGACGTGGGACCTGATCCCCTGACCCCGAGATCATGAACTGATCCAAAACCAAGAGTCGGATGCTTAACCGACTGAGCCACCCAGGTGCCCCTGTAGTCTTTTTTGATGATATGATGATATCCTATCAATCATGGTATCAAGTATTTTTTATCAAGTGTTTATTCAGCACTTTCTGATCACCTCACTGATGAGAGAGGGTCCCCCAACCTAAGTAGCATGAGATGGTGAACACCTGACACCTGGCACTGGCCAGATGGGATGACAGCAGTTCATTGGTCACATCTACTCACAGGCTGGGGGAGGATCCTGCACGGCATGCAAAGCCACATTTGGGCCGCACCTGGGAGCAGACCGAACCAGCAGGGGCAGTGGGAGGCAAGGTTTGTAGTAACCAGAGGGGGAAGTGTCTCCGGTCTTGCAGGAGGATGCGATTGACTTGCCTGAATAATTTTGTGGGCTGGAAGGGAGCTGAGAGCGGTTAGGTTGAGGACCCGGTGAGGTGCAGCTGACCTGGCGAACAGGGAAGCTAGTCAGGTGAGCAGCCTTTCCTTCTGGGTGCAAGGCATATCTTGCAAGAGTACGGGACTCAGAGCTAGGCCTTTGGGGCCTACTGAGGCTCAAAGATATCAAGGCAGCCCATGGAACTTTAGGCCCGACACTGTAAGCACCTGCTATGTGCTTAGCAGGATGAGTAAAATGGGCCTTGAGGAACCAACGATCAAGTTTGGGATACACGTCTACAACCAAATAGTTATAATGCATTGCTGTAAGCTCTGCAGTAGAAGAGGTATACGTTGATTGGAAGCATGGCAGAAGGACTGGCTGATTGCCTGGGGCACTTGGAAAAGGCGTCATATCAAACCTCAGTTATGATAGAGGGTTGTTACTGTCGGAGCTGACAGAGGGCTGGGAAACACAGCCCCGCTTTCCCTGCACAGAGCAAATGGCCCTTTGATGACTAGTGCTTCCGGGTTTACATGTCCTTTTCCTGGCATGCTGCTCCCCCTGGAGTAACGATTGAGCCATCGGATCCATATTTTCCCATCCCTCCCCAGACATGGCAAGAACCATATGCCTGTGTCAAGGGAGAGGACCCAGAAGAGCTATTTATCCCTCTCTCGCTGGAAACAAAGCAAAATAAATAAAAACCGAAACAGAACGGTTGCCTTCCATCTCTCCCTGTCTTTCCCTGCCTCTCTTCCTCTCCTCCCCCCTCCCTCCTTCCTCTCCTCCCCCCTCCCTCCTTCCTCTCCTCCCCCCTCCCTCCTTCCTCTCCTCCCCCCTCCCTCCTTCCTCTCCTCCCCCCTCCCTCCTTCCTCTCCTCCCCCCTCCCTCCTTCCTCTCTCCTCCCTACCCACTGCTGTTAGCACTCCCCCAACACTTCTAACGTCTGTCGACTGAAATGGTCGATGCTGTATACCGCTCTTAATTCTATTTTTATTCTTGTATCTTCTGCTTCTTGCCACCTCGCCTATGTTCTTTAGCTTTTAACCCACAGGGACATTGATCTTTGGAAGACAGAAGTAGCCAAAGAGCATTCTCCTTTCATCCACACGTGCACATGTATTCTAGCTGGCAAGTCAACCAAACACAATCTTTGACAGTTCAACTCGCTGCTAACTGCTGAAGTCAGCTCCTGTCTTTTCTCCTGACCCCATTAGTACAGACCTGGTGTTGCTGCCATATTAGTCACAAAATAGTCATGTTTAATTAGTATTTCCACATGTTTACGTTCAGTTTGTGATAGTTCCTATTAGGATCTCTGACAGGGGCCAATAAATAGTGCATCTCTTCCCCGATGCAATCTGGACAAATGAAGGGGAAAAAGTGGCAGACGGAGATCAGAAGATTATGGTTATTACTGTTAGAGGCTAAGGTGGAGGCTGTAGCTTGGTGAGGGGCAAACGGGCCTGCTAAGTGGGTCCCAGAGCTCAGCAGAACTCTCCCAGACTCTGCCTCTCTAGAGTCTTGCCTTATGTGGGAGATTCACCCGTAAGAGAAGGGTAGTACTAACAGAGCACACAAAGGGGCTTCCTCCCCGAGCCTCCAATTCCCCCAGCTGCTTGGTTGAGTGGAGAGAGACCAGGTGCATTTAAGAAAAATTTCTCCTGAGGAAAACTAGAGAAATGGGGAAAAAGCATTTCTGCTCTACCATTTCACAATGGCTGTAATGTGAAATTACGTACCTCAGAAAAACCAGCGTTTGTTAACCTCTCTTCGTGTTATAATACTAAATTAACTGTTTAAATTTTGGTTTTCTTCTCTTAGATCATTCTATTAGTATATTCAATACTTGCGATGCATCTTATTTTGATGAAGGGGGGATTTACAAATTTAAAATGTTGCAGAAACACATCTTTGTGAATTCTCTCAGAAGGTATGAGTGATTGGTAGCAAATATTAGTACAAAAAAAATCTTATCTCTTTCTATAGAATTCATTATATCCTCTTTCTACATATTCTGGAAAGTTCTTAAAAACCCATAAGACATAATCATAACACTGAAAAAGCCTGAGATGAATTTGATACAAAAAGAAAAAAGAAGAATTTAAAAGTAGCAAACACATGACACTGATTCAGTATTAAACATAATTATGTACTACTTGAAAATGCTTACTGGGTCAATTAGCAAAAAATATATGTAATGTATTATGGACATTTTCCATTTTGATGGCTTAATGTGAAATATTTGCTATGTTAAATGCAATTTAACACTTCACATTTTTTGCTTCTTATGAATAAGTTATTGATTTAAAATTTGTATGCTGCTTTAATTCATAAAAGAATAACATAGAGAAATTATATGGCACTTTAGATTGCCAAAGTAGTTTGCAAACTTTAAATGAATAATGCAGACAGCACCCCTGGGAGCAGGCCACGGACTCTCTGCACCTTATTTCCATGAGAGTTCCTAGGGAATACAGTCATACAAATCACTATGTTTAGAAACTGTACATAACTAGACATACACAATTTCTACAGGGAAGAGGGGTCTTGAGTCTATCAAACCCATGACAGACAACTCATAGAAAATGACATAGGCAATCCTCTTATAATAGGATGTTAGGGCAGCTATGGTTAAATGTATGCATAACCATGTACGCAAGGAGAAAGAGCCTTCTAAAAGCAATCCATGATCTCACTCCGAGACTACTTGAAATGGAGACCAGGAAACCTGAGAGCTCACTCGTCCTGTGAGATTTTTTCCCCCTCTATATAAGATGGACACAATGCAGTAAAATACCATAGCAATACACATTTAAATTTGTCTTGAGAAGAGATTCATGGGGCATCCAAGCTCAGTCGGTTAAGCATCTGCCTTCAGCTCAGGTCATGATCCCAGGGTCCTGGGATCGAGCCCCACATCGGGGCTCCCTACTCAGCGGGGAGTCTGCTTCTCCCTCTGCCCCTCCCCCCCATGCATGTGCTCTCTCTCTCTCTCTCTCTCTCTAATAAATAAATAAATTCTTTTAAAAAGAGAGAGAGAGAGAGTCATGAAGGGCAAGGGTAGTTCAGGAATGAACAAAGGAAGGAAACGGCAAAAAGAATGAACTTACCATGATTGCCAATTGTTTATTTTACACACTCTGTCCTGAGAACTGCGATTAGTTTTCAGCTAGCGGAGCCTCTCTTCAGGCGTTTCCCTGCATCTGTGGAGGGAGCAAATGACCTATTCTGATAGAGAACTGATAAGCTCTAGGCCAGGAACAGTTGCAATCTCTCTTCCTGGGCTCTATTTAGAGCCTCACTTTTGTTATGCCCTGATTCTCTTTTACACCCTATAGCTTCCCGCATCTCTCTCTTGCTGGCCTGTATCCGGAGGTCCTTCTGGTAGCCGGTCATTTGATAATGCTGGGAATTTCTGTCTTTTTTTAATTTCTCAAGGTTAAGACTTTAATGGGAGGTATTTTGTAAACTGTGTTCATGGCTATTCCTGTTTCTATTGCCAGATGTTAAGAAGGGTCCACACCTTCTCCAATACATGCTATAGACAATGAATGCCCACAGGAATAGCCATGAACACAGTTTACAAAATTTGCTAGAGAAAGAATCGTCCCCCAGCACTATTCTGTCCTTTCTTTGCTCTGCTTCGTGCCCCCTCACTCTGTGTCGAATCCACTTTCCCATGATGCTGGCTCCTGGACTACAAAAGAACAGGTCATTTCAATAGTCTAGCGGGTGCGTGTTTGTTGCCAGTAACAGGGACTTAAAACAGCTAAGGGTGTCTGAGGGTAATAGAGCAGCCTAGTGAAAAGACCAAGCATCCAGACTCTTGGTGCCATTTTACTCCATCATTCTTACTGTGTTGGCTTTTGTCATCATCATCTCACCTCATGGCTGAAGAATAGCTTCTGTGCTTCTGATGCCATTACATCTGTTTTCTAGGCTGGAAGAAAGAGGAAGAGGATGGAGGGGGCCAGCACCACTCCACTTCCATCTCACTGGCAAGCACCGGCACATGGCCACTCAAACATCAAGGGAGGCTGGGCAATGGAGATTTTTGCTTTCACTGCTTCTATTGGAGAGAAAGAGATAGAAGAAGGGGGTTGGATATGGGCATTGTATCAGCTGAGCTGTAGCTTTCATCGCAAATGTCAACTGAAGAGGTCCCTTTCCAACCTCTCCCCAATGGTCAGAAGTGATTGATTCCATAGTGTTTCCTCTATCCCACTATCATACTCCTTCCCTAACTTTACATGGCACACCCTATTTGTTTAAAAATTAAATATGCACTCTGTAGGTTGCACTGGAATAAGGATAATAATCACAATGGTATTGACTTGTTCATTAATTCCCTCAGTTAAGGTTCAATTACTGAATATTTATCTTTAACTGCAAAGCACTCAGGTACAATGCTGTATTTCCTGTCATGGAATATATGTCTTACCTGTATGGTGCTTTATCGATTAGGAATGCTTCCAGCAACTACAAGCATAAGATTCAAATGACAGTAATTTAAACCATACTAACAATATATAATTTACTTTTTAAAAAAATTCAAAAGGAGATATGTAGCTCCACCATGTTAGGGTGCTGGGATTATATTTCTGTGATTCCCCTCATGGTTGTAAGAAGGCTGCCACAGCTCCAAACACCTCATCCTTGAAGAATGTGTCCAAAGACAGCCGTTCTCTTTTATCAGAGAATACAATCTTCCCTGAGGCCTCCTCAGTAGACTCATTGGTTAAAAGGGTCATGTGGTTACCACTAGCTTTAAGGGAGGTTGGAAGGGAGTTATTCACCTAGTGAACAAGGACAAGGAGTTGGGGGTTAATCTTGGATATCCAACCAAGAGTGTTGTCATAGATGCTTTACAGCTTCATGATCTCATCTTATGACTCAATGAGACTACTATCCCAACGTACTAGAAACTCAAACCTGGAATAAGAGGTATACGCAGCCTTTGCTATGTGGGAGCTTCTGGCTGGGAAATAATTTAAAGATCCTTTGAAGGTGCAAATTTAATACAAGGGTTTTAAAGACATTATAATGCATTTTGCCTATAAAGTATACATACAAGAACCCAAGGAGTAATTCAAAAGATTTTATAGTTTGGGAAGATAATTACATGGTGGAATGAGAAGAGAAATCAGGATACATTGATTCTAGGCTCAGCTTTGGTTAACACACCAGAAAGATTCTAAGCCTCTGCTCCCTCATCTGTAAAATGACTCCTAGACTCCTCCTCAAATATATGAATAATTCTATAATCATGATGCTAGAAGTCATGAGCTAGAAGAATGTTAAAAACCATCTATTACAGCAGCGCCTAGGTGGCTCATTCTGTTGAGCATTGCTCAGCACGGAGTCTGCTTGAGATTCTCTCTCTCTGCCCTTCCCCTGCCCCCTCTTTCACCAAAATAAACCATCTATTACAGTCTCTTTTTACAAATGAGAGCACTCAGGCTCAGAAAGGTCACCATTTGTCCAAATGCATTAATCTAATTTAGAAATTTGAGTCCTAGTATATAACATACTATACTTTCACAAATAATTAATATTACATCCTAATAGATCTTTAAAAAATTCAACCTCTTCCTCTATCTTCTTTTTCATTTTAGGCAGAATCTCTCCAATAGCATTTTACTCTATTTAATAGAAAGCAGATAATGAATTAAAGTCCACATTTTAGCTGTAAGGTCTTGGGCAAAATACCTAACCTCTCTATAAAATAATAATTACACCTTCTTCATAGTTTTTTTTTCCTTCTTTTTTTGAGGACTAGATAAAGTAATCTAATAAGAAAAGTTGGTATAGGGATTGACACAACAAGGATGTAATCCCAGCCATCCATCTCAGCGCTTAAAATTCCTCCAAACTTGAGAAATGTCCTGGACCAATTTCCCCAGCAGGTTGTGTGGAGGGTGAGTCCAAGTCTCATGATTGTAATTTTGTCTTTATATGGTTCTATCTTCTACCTTCACATTATACAGATCTGAAGGCTCTGGGTAATAGCTAAGGGCGTGGTATATAACTGGAAGTCAGACCCATCATCTGAGCCATCATGGAACTCAGTAACCAGTGATTTGTATGAGACAATTTAAATCACTTGAATCAGGGATTCTGAACCTGGGATTCTTGGATGGGTTACAGGGGAACAGGGAACCACCTGACATTTCACTGAAACAGGTTTTCTTAACCTCAGCAATATTTGCATTTTGGGCTAGGTAATTCTGAGGGGTTGTCCTCTGCATTATAAGGTGTTTAGCGGAATCCCTGGCCTCTAACCATTAGATGCTGGTAGTACCTCCCTCCTCATGATAATCAAAACCTCTTCAGAGGTGCCTGGGTGGCTCAGTCAGTTGAGCATTTGACTTTTGATTTCGGCTCAGGTCACCATCTCAGGGTGGTGGAATTGAACCCAGGTTGGGCTCCGTGTTCAGCGCAGGGTCTGCTTGTCCCTCTCCCTACCTCCCTTTGTATGCTTTCTCTCTCAAATAAAATAAATAAAATCTTTAGAAAAAAAATCTCCAGACCTTGCCAAATGTTCCCTAGGAGGCATAGTCTCCCTTCTCCCCTTGAGAACCACTATGATAAAGCTAAATATGTATGTAT